ATTCCTGCTTCTCTTATATAACCTTGCTCTGCTGAAAACTCAGATAAAGGACTTAGTAGAAATACCGTTTATTTTCTGAAGTAAAATAAACATCTGGGAAATTTCACCACAGTCTTTTTCCCAACTTCTTCTAATCTAGATGCCAAGTTCTGCAGATCTTCCTTGCATACAGAGTTTGTATGAGTGCCTCTAACTCATATGAGTAACAGTTTACACAATTGTATCTTACTATTTTTCAGTGAAATAAAAATACTTTAACTCGCTACTCTTGAACTGAGAGAACACTCAATAAACAGATTTTATACATGTGAAGCAGTCTCTAAATCTGGAACAGATATTGACATTTTTAGAAGTTATTTTAACATGATTATAGATAAATCAGGCTGTTCTGAAACATATTGCCACAAAGCCAAAAAGCGCTAAACCTTCAACTCCCATTTTCTAAACCACTTACAAGGTTTTGAGTTACATTTATGAAAAAAAAATGCACAGTATCAGTCCAAGTAAACCAAAATAAGGCTCATCAGGATCCTCTTTCACAGGATGCCAATGAAAAAGCAACTGTATATTCATGCAAAGTATCAGTGGAGATAATTCATATTGCTTAAGCCATTATTTATCTCAAATGTAAGATTAAAAAAAAATTAATTGGTCAGATAATGCTCCATACATGGATCTCTGTGACTATTTTCTCATGTAATACATTGATATAAATAAAATAAAATGCATAAAATGCTCAAATATTTTATTTCCTTGTTTGAATTTTATTAGCACCTAATCTGCCTCTAGCAATCCCAATGAGATGAGCACATGAACGCTGTCAGAACAAATACTGGTTTTTCATGTTCTCAAGATGACTGAGATGTTGAAACAAACAACAGTAAAACCAGAGTGCAGCTGGTCATTCATTTGGCAGTGCCAATGACAGGCTTTCTGTTGGCCGATTCTGGCTTAAGGGTAAAGCTTAAAACAGAGAAAAGGGTATAGTAATTTTGTAATTCAGCTTGACCAGATGCCAAGTTTGTGGGTATAATGTAAAAGTTGTATCTTAATTACAGTCAGCTGATGCAATGAAAACATCTGCATAATACAGCATACGCCAACTTCTGAAAATGTAAAAAAAGAACACTTACAGGTATGAAAAAAGAAGCCATTTATTTACAAGCTAATAAGTCACAAAATCTGAAAGTTTTATTTCATTTCAACAGTATAGTCCACTGCCACACAGCTAAAATTTAAGGATGTCACGTCACTCAAATTTACTCTGTGAACTTCGATTTAAATGTGCTTCATTTAAATTCCTTACACCAAGAACACTAGATCCCCAGTCAGAGTTCATACTCAACACCACGGCTAGACCTGGTTTCTTGACTGGCACTCAAAATTTCCTGAGATGAAGAAATGTTTATTTTAACATTGCCTCTAATCTCCCTCTGGAAATAAGACTACTGCCTTTGCAGCTTAAAACCGTTGGTCAATTTCAAACCCATTTGGGAGCAAATGACTTTTATAGTTTTCTCAACTTCAAAAAATTTTGTATTTGTGACTTTTTACTTAAGGCAGGAAAAATCCCAAAGCTCTGCTCTAAAGCAAGTCCAGTAGGAGAAGGGCCCATCACACCAGAAGTGCTCCCAGTTCTCTCTCAGATCAGGCTTTCTTCTAATTGCCGTGTTATCTGTTCTCTCCAAATCTTTTTCACTGTATCTGCTGCCACCTTCATAGGACATGACATGCAATCAGCTCGTCTGGTCTCGGAAAGTCTGTATTTGGATGTTGAAAGTGGCTTTGGCCATCGCTACTTAAAGTTAGTCACCTTGTACCTGACTTCAGGATCATCTGCAGTTGCAGCAACTCCTGACTTCAGCAAACCTTCACACCTGGGAAGCAGCAAGGAAAAGAGGCAGAGCAATGACAAGAGGGAAAGCTATCGACATGAGCAGGGCTGCAGAAGGCGCCAAGGGATAAGGAAGTGAAGCAGGCAGCCTTCAGCCATGTTCCTGGGACACCCAGCTGAGGAGCCTGTCCTGTCCCTCCCCTCCTGAAGGATGCCCTGTATGTAGCAGGGCAAATGTCCCTGCTGGAAATGAGGCAGCTGCAGGACTCAGCCACAGGGAAGGCAGCATAATCACCTCACGACCTCCCAACCTCTCTGCCTTGCCAGTGTTCCCAGAATCAGCAGCGCAACCACTGACACCAATCTGCACTGCATCTTTAAATCTCCCCCAGTAGCTCATTTGAGTGTACAACATCAAAACAGATGAAAACTGTAAAAGTGCTGGTCACAGAATATGTATTTCACAAGAAAAATGAAATTAGCTATCAAGCTGCACAGCCTCTTTGTATTAAAGCATAAGAAGCAACATTTGCGACTGCATATTTCAAACCTTGACACAATAAAAATAAATGCATGTGGAATATCAAATTATTTGTACCTTTTCAATTCATTTGAAGATAATGAACAATTGAACAGTGACATGTACTTCAAAAACTACTCAGAAAAACATTCTTCCCATAGGCATTACAAAGCACTTAGCTTTGCATTATTCTCCTCTACTGTAGGCATACACATTAAACAAATGTCGCGTTTCATTTTAATAGAAACCCAGAACAATAACAGTATAATAGAACAGTTAGAAAGTGTACAAATAGTGAAGTGATACAACTGTACTAAAAATAGCAATTACAACAGCAAAAACATTTAAAAAATATTTTTTTCTTTTGCTTATGTAAACAAAAGTGTTTCAATTATTGCAGTTCATAAAAAATCTATAATTTCTTATTCAATAGAAAATTGTTTTAAAAATTAGAAAGAAAAAATGCAGAGGATAAACAAAAGTGATGTAATTACTTTGCTTTCCTCAAAAGCTATAGTAAGACCCGATTGTCATGATAAATTAGGTTGGTGGGATTAATTGGTTATCTATTGGAACTGTCCTCTTCAGGAAGAAAAAAACCCAAAACCAAACCAGAATCTGATTTGGATAGACGAGCAATCTGTATTTAAGAAAAGATCAATACTGGAATAAGAAAGGTACTTGAACCTGAATTATGGTGCACTGCCAAGATTTTGTGAGAAAAATCAGTATGAAGTAACTCCACTGCAGAAACTGCTGCTGATAGAATATGTGCTGGAAGAAGGGCCATGGGAAAGTAGAAACTTAAATGTATTTTGATAAGAAGTGGGTTTGCATGTGTCCATAGTCCGCTCCATTATCTACCCTTTGTAATTAAAAAGAAAACAAACAAAAATGCTGAAAAACGTGTAAAAAAGTCCCCTGGGATTTATATCGTTCTTTGCATTCATTTCAGAAAGCACCAGTACAGAATTAAAGGACCTATGGTACAATTGAAAGGAGTAAAATTTCACGCCCTGTGCACTAATGGTAATTAAACTCTTTATTAATTTCAGTATTATTAATTCCTACCCTGGACTAATTCCAGCTTTGGTAATTACACTTTTCTTACCTACACTTTATTCCTTCATAATTTTCATAAAGCTTTTCTTTTGTTCTGATGGTTACTTACTGTAAGAGGATTGCTACTTGAGATCCTTGGGAACAAAATTTAAGTCAAATAGAGTCAACAGAAAGCCAACCTCCCAACTTTATAAAATTCCTTAATCCCTGTGAGTGATATAGAAAGTCTTCCTACTTCCTCATAGAAACACGAGTGCTTAGTACTTTTCCCCATTTAAACTAATGAAAGAAATATAATTCTCCATAGCTGAGTATTAGAGGTTAATGCTCACCATATGCTATACATTGAAGACTATATACTCTAAAAGATTTATATATCAGTCAAAAAATCAAGAAATTTCAGGTTGTCTATTCAGTCTCACATGTAAGAACACCAAATTTTCAAAATTCATCAGACCACACATAGAAATGCTCAGCAACTTGGAAAGCTATGAAGACTGTCCTGCAGAGGCAGTGGGAACACTTTTTTTTTTTTTTTTTT